AATATGAATCTAATATGATTGTCATCGGTCTAAATTAGATTTCAAATGATTAACTGTGTATGTAATGAAGATCATAGTGTGGGTTAAATCCATTTTCATGACCACTGTCTTTTAACTGATTTACATGCGGAAACTGGGCTTATTCATCAGACTTTCGTATGACTTGACTTGACTTGACTTGACCTGAGCAATGACTTGACTTGACTTGACTTGCTTGACTCTCACCACAGTGACTTGGGACTTGCTTGATACTTGTAGGTCAAGACTTGAGACTTGCTCATGACTTGCACATGTAGGACTTACTCCCACCTCTGTTGATCACTATGCTGACTTAACTTACATTTTGTATACATAATATTATAACTCATTGGTTTTCTGGGGAGTGTCAGAAAGACTCTCTGTTTTAGAGATGGAAGGGGATTGTTCCCATAGCACAGAATACATTTACAAATGTTTATTTATACATTCCTATTTTTCTTGCACTTCTATAATCATAATGTCTTACATCCTAATATTATTTTAAGACAATCACCTTTACAACAACTGGATTTAAATTCAACTTTATTTTCATTACAGAAAGTTTTTAAGGAATAAAAACAATAAATTGTAGAGCAATGTACAGAGTGTATAACGAACTGTAATGTAGAATAAATACAATGTAGAATAAATGGCAAGAGAAATATATCAATCATCAACAGCACTGATATAAATAGACTACGCTAAATATATAACATTAATGAAGGAAAAATATTGAGTAAATACACTAAGATATACATACAGTATACTCTAAGATATACCCCAGATACTAAAGCAAATTCCTTGTATATGTAAACGTACCTGGCAATAAACTTGATTCTGATTCTGATTCTGATAGATCAAAACATGGAACAACAACAGTAGCCAGTGCAGGTAAAAGTACAAAATATCAGTGGCGTCAGCAGAAAGTAATGCAAATAATAATTCCCAAAATATGCAAAAGAAAAACATGTTAAAATATATTTTAAGATCATGTTTAGTCATCTGATTCGTCTGTACATTGCTGTTTTAGTCTGCGTTCTTCTCATTAGTGTCTACAATGTGCCTATTGAGCCGTGTTGAGTGATGTGGGGCAAGCCCCTCTCTCTGCTGTTAAAATGAACGTGTACTGTAAAAACTACACTAAGCATGCTCAGAGTATTTTTCTATTCAATGTGTGCGGCAAAAAAATAATCACCATTACATTACATGTCACTTGTTAGACGCTTTTATCCAAAGCGACTTACATACATTCAGTACTGTGGACAATCCCCACAGGAGCAATTTAGGGTGAAGTGTCTTGCCCAGGGACACAACGACATGCTGACTGCAGTGGGACTCGAACTTGCTATCCCATGATTCAAAGTCCAGCGCACTAAATAACTCCACTGAGCCACAGCCTCCCTCCACCATAGGGGCACTGTGCTGCCATACCCACCAAACGTCATCTCATAATTCAGAGAGCTGATTGGCTGTAAGTACGTGTGCCGCGAAAAGTGTAGATGTGAAGAGGAGACGAGAGAGCAGCTTATAGCGATGGAAATCAGTAAAACGGAAAGAAAATGAATGAAGTTGACCATCTACTTCAGCTTTGGTAAGTTCATTTTATTTCTGACACCAGCATTTGTTTCCAAATGACCATTAAATGTAATTCACACACATCAGGACAACTCCATAGCTATATGTGTATTCCCAAGTGAAAGAACGAACGACACTATCATAATATCTTCTGAAAACAAATGCCCCCACACACGCACGCACGCACGCACGCACGCAAGCACGCATGCACACACGCACGCACGCACACACGCACACACACACACACACACACACTCCTTCAGCCTACTTTCAGCTACAGAAACCATTCAACTATTACATTATTCAGCTATTTCAGGACATTGAGGCTATACATTTAGTTGTTTATACTTTTTTAAACCTTTTCTTTTAAATATTAAGCTTCTTCACTATTTTTCCTACTCTTCCAGTTTAACATTTCACTTTCAAATTACAACAAAGTAATTGCAATGCATTTGAGCTGTAACAATTTGATTCAAATCATTTCAGTTTTCTGCATTTCTCCGCTAAGTTCAGCAACACACTTACTTGGTTTTTGTAGCTAAAAGCAGATACAGAGACCATTCAACTAATAACATATTCAGCTTTTTCTGCATTTTCAGCTAAATTCAGCAACAAATGTTCACAGTTTACAGCATTCACACGCATCTTCTGCAGGAAATGCATTTTCTAGTCTTCTTCTTATTAGTATGAATGCTATTTATAGCATTCCACTATAGTTCTTCGAATCTTTATTCTTATTTCAGCCAATACTTTGGCTCTCCATAACTTCAGCATACTTTCAGCTACAGAAACCATTCAAATATCAAACTATTCAGCCTGTTCAGCAATCGATGGGAAACTTTCAACTTTTTCAAAATATTTTATACTTTTTGAAATATTCAGCTTTTTAAACTCTTTTTTTAACATGGAAGTCAATGGGAGGAACCTTCAAATCCTCTTTTACCTACACCTTACGCCAAATGCTTCTCCTTCCATATACTTTCAGCTAGAGACTTCATTCCAACTTTAAAATGATCACAAGACCTTCAGCTATGAAACTCGTTCTTCCGATTCTTCATATCTTTTACACTTTTTGAGATATTTAACTTAGTTTGGAGCTTGGTAAAGTGGCTTTCTTCAGATTTTAACATTAGTGTGTATTGGGCAGCTCGTTAAGTCTAGAGTGCTTTGATCTCAAAACAGAGTGGAGGACAGCTTGAAATTCGCCCAAAAAATGTTTTAAACCTGCCATAATTCCCAAACCCTACACTCCTCAGACATAATGTTTCATGAAAAACGTAGGAAAACCTCTCCTAGGTTGGAAAATAAAAAAGAATTAAGAAAAAATATTAAACAAAATGCCTCTTGAGGGCATGAAGAGACAAAAACTTGTCAAAAATTCTCCTTCAGATCAAATGGAAAGGCTCTCCTTTCACAGCACATCTCCATGGAAACCTTTGATCTCCGGGCTCACGTAAACAGGTGTTTTGATAACGTCGTCACCGTGGTAACCTTTGATCTCTGGGCTTACACACACAGGTGTTTGTTAATATTCATTCACTACTACTTACATTTAATATCTAACTCCTTCAGCCTACTTTCAGCTATAAACCTATTACTTTCAGCTATAAAACTATTACATTATTCAGCTATTTCATAGGATATACATTTTGTTGTTTATACCTTTTTTAAACCTTTTCTTTTAAATATTAAGCTTCTTCACTATTGTTCCTACTCTTCCAGTTTAACATTTCACTTTCATGTTTTCAACAAAGTCATTGCAATGCATTTGAGCTGTAACAATTTGATTCAAATCATTTCACTTTTCTGCATTTCTCCGCTAAGTTCAGCAACACACTTACTTGGTTTTTGTAGCTAAAAGCAGATACAGAGATCATTCAACTAATAACATATTCAGCTTTTTCTGCATTTTCAGCTAAATTCAGCAACAAATGTTCACAGATTACAGCATTTGCACACATTTTCAGCAGGAAATGCATTTTCTAGTTATAATTATTATTGGAGTCCCTGAAAAATAATTCTGCTATATTATTTTCTTCATTTGAGGATTAAATATCTGTTTATTTACTCTACGGTTTGTGTAATTCACCTTTTGTTGACTAGGATCCGGGGTGGCTTTAGCATATGTTACACATTGCACCTTTAAAATGCATGTGCTTTTGCCAATTTAGGTATTCAGAAAAGTGATGTCCCTATCAATAATAACATCCATAAATCTGTGTTTACAGGCTAAACTGTAGCTCCCTCTCACACTCACAATGCCTAATGTTTGCATATAAACGTGACAGTAACTCCATGAATATAAAGAAATGCATGAATGCTTATGTAGGTAACCATGGGGTTAAAACACAGCAAGACAATAGGCAAATTCATTGTAGTCCAAATTAAAGGCCACACAGGCTGATTTCAGTTTCCTACAATCATATCATTTGTTTAGGCGGTTATCTAAACTAAGCATCTGATCAAAAGTCATGGCAGAACAAAGTCCACTCACTCATATTCACTGACAGACATATTACAGACCTATCGCTGAACATCCCTGTGACACATGCAACTATAAGCACTCTGAATGTTCAATAATAATGAACGCAGGGAAGATTTATTGACCAATTGATATTATTGATATAAAACAACAGTTTTGCCTGCTGATTGTTTTTTTTTATATATGTTTTTGTTCATGCTCAGCCTCATGGAAAATGAGGGTCCCTCTCAAACAAAGTGACAGCCACGTCTTGAGGGAAACAAGTCGAATGTCTTCACTCACAAAGCCTTAAGGATACGTTTGTATTTGGTCAGAGAAAGATTCAGCTATATGAATGCACAATACAAACTGTGAGACAACAATCATTAACTTCCTCGTTGGGAACATTTCTTATTAAATGGAAAATTAAACTAAACAAAAAACAGGCTGATAAGCTAAAAACAATGTATTAGTGTAAATTAACACAGGCATCCTGCATCATGCAATGATTTGTACGTGCTTGTTTTTGACTTTAGTTAGTTTGTGCATAAATTAATATTACTTATTCACTTTTAATTGACAATTCTATATTTCAAATGTCAGGTTATTCAGTAAATTTAAATAATCTTGTTAAAAAAAGAATACACTATTGTGATTGAGGTTTCTCTTTTACTCTTGTTTGCTAATTAATGACGTAACACTCTGTGTTATTAAAGTTAGATATTTAAGTGTCCTTTGGGCACCAGGAAAAGCGCTATATATAAATAACATGTATTATTATTATTAAATTAACATTTAGCAGGAATAAAATAAAATGTATAGTGGCACTTCAAGCCCCAGAACACCTTGCGGGGCAGAGGAGACGCTACGGGCGGGGATTGGCTGACAGTCACATGGCACATCCGGCTCGCCGCGTCATTGGTCGGCGGTGAGGAGTCCAGCTGCTGTGTGATGTGAACGGCGCTAACTGCTTTGTTTTTAACTCCAGAGGCTACAGACAGGGCCGAGCCACTCCCAGGAAGTATATACAGCCGAGCTCCACCACACCGAGGCACGGTGCGCGGCCCCGCGAGCTGTTTTTATCAACTTTACCCTGATAACGTTAAGGCACGTTTGATTAGAGCTTGTGTAACAAAAGCCTGTGCGGTGAGCAAAGTCTCACTTATTTACCTCCCGCGGAGCCCTGCACAACTCTCGCTAACGGTAGCTCACAGCATAACGGTAAGTTAGACGCTCCTGTCAATTAAACGCTTTATCAAGCTCTGTCCTATCTGCCACTTTTTGCTTTCTTTACAAAAAGTCGATATTTGTCTTTAGTTTATCGCTCAGTGATAACTAGTATTGTATTTGAAAGGAAAGTGTACTATCCGTGTTAGGCAACCCTTAAGAACACACACCGCATGATTTTGACAATCCAGCGTCTTAATTCGCACGCGATATTATTCCACACAAAAAAAAACATGCAAATAGCTAAAGCTTATGCTGAAGTGATTCATTGATAACCAGGTTGCACTTGACTTGAGTATTTCAATGAGTTGCTACTTTGTACTTCTACTCCACTACAGTTCAGAGGTACATGGTGTACTTTTCCTCCACTACATGTATTTAATACCTTTAGTTACTTTACAGATGTGGATGAATGATGTGAAATATAATCAAGTGTTAAATCAGACTTTAGTTCCACCTGGAGTAAATTCACAAGCTACCCTCCAGTATACAAAGTCATTCAAACTAGCTGCACCTTTACCAGCTTTGAGAACACTTTCATGATCAATCATTATAAAACATATCATATATATTATTCTGAAAATGACTACTTTTACTTTTGGTACTTTAACTATATTTTGATCCTAATACTTTTCTACTTTTACTTGAGTAACATTTTGAATGCATGACTTTTACTTGTAGGAGAGTATTCCTACACTCTGGTACTTCTACTTGTACTCAAGTTCAAGATCTGAATACTTCTTCCACCGCTGAGTGGTTACAATATACCAAACAGCCAATTTTTGTTGAGATTAATTTTAGTTTCATTCATCTTAAAAGTGTAACTATACATTATCCATCATTTAGATTTGAATTTGAATATAAACTATTTGTAAAAATCATGCAAATTTAGTTAAATCTCGTGCTAAAGTGATACATGTATAAGTAGATCAACATAACAATTCCAAAAGTAAATGTCATTTTAAATAATAGCTGTCCTCATTGACCCTTAGAGACACACATAGACCCTCTTTTGTACCTCACATTCGACAGTTTAAAGTGTACAAGTGCTTAAAACAGGATGGTTATAAATGAGGACCATTCCCAGGCTCTATTTTGTGTCATTCCAATTTATGTTTAAGTGAAAAACATGCCGGTTTCTAGTGTTTCTCTTCATCTACAGCAGGGGTGTCAAACTCATCACGGACCACATTAGCATTATGTTTGCACTCAAAGGGCCGGTTGTAACTATATAAATATACATATATAATATATATATAAAATGATGTATTATATTACATTATTGCCTCTGAATTGGATTATTATCGGATAGTATAATAACATAGTAATTAACTACGTCTGAAAGCAGAAGTCCAGGGCAAATAATTGCAAGTCTCTTCAGTGCGCATGTCACAACACGAGATGCATTGTGGCCGATCTATTTATCCATTCAGGGTGAGCACACTCACAGGTTCTGGCAAGTGGGGTAAAATATATGGGCTCGTGTTTCTACAATGCTCAGATAATGCCAGCTTTTGGAAACTAACCCTTTTAACTCTTCTCATTTTACTTTAAATGTTGCCTAATTCTGTGTAGTACACGCATGCTTGCCTACCTCAAACTTCCTGTGAAAACTACACAGACCAGAGATCTTTGTCTATATGTGCCATAACTCACAACAGGGCAGTTTCTCTGCTGCAAAATAGTCGAAAAGAAACACTTTGACATATTGATCTCTAACAAAAAAGCCCAGGAGTCAAACTGTTATTGATTCAGAGAGAAAAGTAAACATTAAAGGTCCCATGTCATGGCCATTTCTACTGATCATAATTCCATTGTTGAGGTCTACTAGAATAGATTTACATTGTTCAATTTTCCAAACTCACATTGGTTTCTCATACAGCATCTCTGTATAGTATGTGTATTCACTCTCTGTCCTAAACAGCTTGTTGGAGCTCCTGCCCTAAACCTTGGACTTGGGTTTAGCCTGCTATCTCATTATGTAATGCATGTTCTCTGTATTTTCCTTCTTAGATCCATCATGAATTTCATCCTGGAAACCCTGCAAGTCCTCCTGATGTCCATCTGGTACAATCTGGAGTCCTTCGTCCACCTGTTTGTGCCCAGGAAGAGGAAGAACATAGAAGGAGAGGTGGTCCTGATCTCTGGGGCGGGCAGTGGGATCGGTCGCCTCATGGCTCAGGAGTTTGCGGCTCTCAACACTGTGCTGGTGTTGTGGGATATTAACCAGGAGGGGATGAAGGAAACGGCCAGGCTGGCTAAAGAGAGCGGAGCCAGCAGAGTGCACTACTATCTGTGTGACTGCAGCGACAAGAACGAGGTTTACAGAGTGGCAGACCAGGTAAGGTTCCTGAAAACTATTGTATTTACATTGGAATTCGGGGTCGGAACTGGGAATAAGTCACACCCCAGTTCCAGTAGCAGTCATCTCGGGTTACCCATTGTTAGCAATACCGTTTGATAACTACTTTATTTTGTGAATACAAACGTCATAGCAACATATCCACAGATAAAGATGAGCAGAACCATATGCAGTTGATGCACAAATAACACAGAAGAGCTATAAATGGCATATTATCAAAGGGTTCTCTTAATGTTCATATGCAGATAATCCATTTTAAATCATGATCTCGGGTATGGCGAGCTATCTCCTATCTCAGAGGGCGCGACAGTTGACATTTCAGACTGGGAACTCGGATACTCCCACTTCCCAGTACAACTGGAACACAGCATATCTCCATTGTATCATCTGACCATGCTGGCCTGTTAGCCTTTTAGCTTATGTAGCCTGTTGGGGTATGCTAGCCGACAAAAAGATTTATAGACCAATATTTACTGAAATCTAGGGTTTGGTGATATTTCAAATATTATATCAAAGTTTTTTTAGGCTAAATGGCGATATACAATATTCAAATTTAAAAAAGAATCCCTGTGAATGCTCCTTCAGTTTTTTTCAACTCATGCTAAACTAAATACACCAATATGCAAAAGTAAGAACTGGCTGAGCTGGTTTGAAAAGAAACAGCCGCATCAACGGCGATTATTTCATTTCATGGAAATGCTGCACCTTAATGTTTATTTTATTATATTTTGTATTTGAGTGAATACATTATTCACAGTTTAATAATAATTAAAAACCCCAAAAACATTTTATGTTTTGTGATCATTTTTTCTGCTGTACCGAAAACGTACCGAACCGTGACCTAAAAACCGAGGTACATACCGAACCGAAATGTTTGTGAACCGTTACACCCCTAATACATATTCTAATGATGAAGCAGAAAATATACTCTGCTATGAGACACACACACACACACCAGAGTTCCCGTTAGAATATTTCTTCGCCGGTCAAAATGTCCGTTAAAGTTTAAATCTTCCGGACAAAATTAGAAAAGTGCCGGTCAAAGGTCTTCTTTGTTATTTATTGAGCTTTAAAACGAATTGATATTATTCGATATTAAACAAACTAATTATAGTAGATTAATTATTCAAAAGTGTACAGTAATTTATAACGGGGGAATAATAAACGGAGCGCTCTCTCTCTCCTGACAGCCCGCCAGTATCATGCAGCTCGCGGATCCAGTAATGAGTGACCCGACAGTAAAACTAAACATATCTATAACTAGTTTAGGTAGTTTGAGAGGTAATTAAAATAGCTACGTGTGATATTCTGACCTGAAGTGTGTGTTGTTTCGCTCACCGCTGCAGGTGATCATGCAGAGCTGCGTGTCGACTCGTCAGCAGCAGCTGATCTCTCTCTCCCGTCAGATTAGACTTTACTCGCGTTTATGTGCATATCAATCAGATCTAGCTAGTTCTAGCTAATGATATGACTACCTGCTTATTAAAAGACACCTAAACAATAAGCGTCGCTATGCAACCGGGTGAGCGCAGCATTATGCATTTGTTTACATGCCCACGGGAACCCCGAGGCATTACCAACAGATCAACGCACAATCAACCCATACAGGACATCTCTTTCTCCACATTAAGTGTTAGACATTATAATTGACTATTCTTGTCTGTCACATACTCTTTTGTCTGTCACATACTCTTCTTGTCTGTCACATAAATGGCGCAACTGATGCGGTATTGCGCTAAAGGGAAATGATTTTGACCAGACATTTTGACCGGAGAGATTTAGATTTGCCGGTCTTCAGCATATTTTACCGGTCATAGTCCGGTAATTACCGGCTAACGGGAACTCTGACACACACACACACACACACACACACACACACACACACACACACACACACACACACACACACACACACACACACACACACACACACACACACACACACACACACACACACACACACACTCTCTGGTGGGAGCTTACAACATCAATAAGTCTGCTGTGTTGATCAATAACACATTACTGGCTGTCATCATCCTGCTCCCTCATAATGTCCACCCTGTCTTCTTCTTGGCCAGCGTTGAAACTTGTCGGTACTGGTAGCCATAGGCGTCATTTAAACTGGGGACGCACAAATAATTGTACACTTTTATTTGCACAAGAGAACATTTACAATCTCAAGGGCTGTTTTTGGTAACCCAAAAGGTGCAATTTTGACCTGCGCCATGTTTAATACTAGTTATAATTGGAAAGGGAATAGTAAAGCTATTGTTACTCTCGCTTTGCAGCTGCGTAACAGTTTCTGCACTAGTTGTCAAAACATGTATTCAAGATTCAAGGTTCAAGGCTTTTATTGGTCATGTGTACATAGCTACAGTGTAGTTATGACGATGAAAAGCCCCTCCAACAGAGGGATGTCCTTGTCCTTTTTGTCATTTGAGCGATAAAAACTCTTTATTTTTTTTGGACGTCAAATGACGGCAAGACGTCCATGCTGGTAGCTTTTGTAAAACCTGGCTAGACAGGTATTATATATTCCCTTATTACATGCTAACCACTGTAGTGGGTTTAAATGTGGGAATGTGTCTGGGAGTAATCCTGTAGCTCATCTGCAATGTTGCCGATTCTCTCTTATTTAATGCTTTCGTAATGATTTCCAAGCAGCTGTTTAAAGTGACTCTGTAGTCTGGCATTCTCACCATATGGCCCCTCTCACTCCACTTCATCATTGTCCTCCACTATGCTTTCCACATCATGTTACCTAGATGAATGGAAAAAACTAAGATTAACTACTTAGCTACTATTAGTCTAGCAACCCAATCCAATTAGCAACAAGGCTATGGAATATTCATTGTTGTTGTTGTTGTTGTTGTTGTTGTTGCTTCAAGTTAGCTAACACCTGTTAGTTATAATAAACCCATTTTAACCTATTGCGTCAGGCTCCTACTCCCCTGTTGTTTTCTCACATGTGTGTGAGCATGTGTGTGTGAGTGTGTGTGTCTTTAAAGCAGGGATGAGTGTTGTGTAAACATTCAGTGTTTTGACTAAGGCTGCGGCCCCACGAGGACGCATACGGTAAAACGCATACGCAAACGCAATCGCAAAAAAGGCTTCCGTCCACACGCAATAGACACCGAAAAGTGTCTGTTCACACGAGACAGCTCCGTTTAGCTCCAACCGCTAGAAAAGCTGCAGTACATATGCCGAGCCTGTACGTGGCGCTGTAACTTCCTCCACCAAAAGCAGCGAAGAAGACCCCGGAGCATGGTTGCCATGGTTGCCCTTCTGTTTATTCTCCGCGGTGGATGGCGTGTTCTCCTGCTGTATATCTCTCCAGTAGTCCACCAGCAGATGAAAAACACCCACCTCTCCGCCTCTTCCAAGAGACGAGGGAACCGTGCGGCAGAGTTTCCGTTAACATTTTTTTTCGCCGGTCAACATGTCCGTTAAAGTTTACAGCCCAGCAGCTGATATCTGAGCAGGAGACGTGGGGACCCCCCAAAGCATTAATTCATGGTTTTTACTAACCGGTATCAGTATGTTGTTACTTCGGCATCATTTTGAAACGTGTATTGCAATTAAATCACGGTTAAATATGTTCATCTTGTTGTAGTTGTAGCCCCCTTGCCAGCGATTCTCTCTCTAGTTTAGCATACTCAGCCCGACTCAGCCTGGTTGTTGGCCCGGAAAGAACCTCGATTTTATGGGGCCAGAAAAACTGTGAAATAGTACCCGCTAGCCCAGGCATGGGCAAACTAAGGCCCGCGGGCCATATACGGCCCGTTGGGCTTTTGAATCCGGCCCGCCGAATATTGGTACAAAATTGTCCAAATTATAGTAAAGACCGCATTCATTTTGCCTTTTTCCTGCAATACCCGGCATTTCAGTTGATCCCACTAGATGGCGCACTCTAGACACAATTTACCTTTGCTGGAGTCTGGTCTATTCTCTCAGCTGGCCCCACTCGGCAACCCGGCAAGATCCAATAACCAAATACGTCACGCTTACATTGGAGGGGGTCGAGATTAACCTGAGCAATAACAGTTCATGGCGAGTACGGCAAATACAAGTTGTAACAAGCAGTAGCGCTGAGCAAAGTGACTAGAACGCGACCACACACTTATAAAAAACACTTATATAAAGTCAGACAACACTAACCAGGCTTAGTGTGATTCTGTTTATTTGACCTTACTTTAATAACCATCCGTTCACTGTTATTGATCATTGTGGAGAGGCAGACGTTTTCCTTTTGTTTTATATTATTGCAGCTATCGGATGGAATAAATACATGGGCTACATGTGGCCATCACAAATAAGATCATAACGAAAACTACGCCGGTAAAATATGCGTGTAGAAAACGGCTTGTGCCACAATATGATAGCAACAAGTAGTCAAGATAGTCTGATTAGCTTCGGTTGTAGAATGCCAGAGAAACGTTCATAACAGCGTTGTGATGCCAAACAGCTTTCAGACTAAAACACATTCACTGATGGGGATGGGGGATATTTATCAGCTGCTTGTGTGACAGTCAGACAATGAAAACTTTACAGCGGCCGCTGCCGCGAGTTAACGGGGGAATAAACTCCGGTAGACGAGCAGCACTGCAGCAGGCAGTAATGCAGCTGAACCACATTAATAAACAATGCTCCACGGCACTCTGGAGAATGGTACAAGGTTGGAGAAGTAGTTCTTTAATTTAATCTGGTTTCGTATGATTAAAAACTACCCGACGCAGTCCTCTATTGATGTTGTTGTGAGCGGTGTTCCGGAGAAAATCAGCGACGTAAAACGCTGTGTGGGTCATAAGAAGCAGTGTGCGAAAAAACACACGTCCCACCGTCCGGGACGTGTTATTTACAATATCGGACAAGTAGATCTTTCAATTGACTTGTCCGGTGGACAAGTGACGTTTTTAGCCCGCATTTATTGACAAATTATAGATAAACTCACTTTACAAAAGGCAGAACTCATTCGCAAATTGTCCGTGTCCGTCAGTTGTTCGTTTAGAAATGTTAGTTTCGGTTCTGCTTGTCGATTCCTAAGGAAATGCATCTCGCCGCTTTCTGTACTGTTAGACGGGGGCGGGGCGGTGCGGGACGTGTAGCAGAGTGGCAGGGTTGGGAAGCAAAACTCGGTGCAGAGTAGGAACAAATAACAATTGTCCGGTACCGGGATTTATAAGAGTTGTGAGGACAGGAGGCGAGGCCGAGCCCCGCGGACCGCAGCTCTCTCTCTCTGCTCCGGATCATCTGATCGCTGCACGGTGCAGTTCAGCGTCTCTCTCTCTCCCTCTCTCTTTCTACACACAGTGGACCCGCTGCCCGTTTAACAGCATAATCTTTGTCAAACTTTCTTATGTTATTTCTCTAACACGTAATGAAGGTTATTAAGCGTTTTAGCTCCTATGTTGATAATATTGACCGCCATTTCCTTTATGAATTAAAGCAGCCTCCCTGTCTGTGTCCTCGCACTGTCCTCACATCCCCCGACCCCCAGACTCGGAGGAGCACAGGGATGTCAGTATTGTTTATGAAGCAGGGTATAGAAAATACATTATTGAAATTAAAATAGTATTTATTTACTTTTACAAACAGTGAGCAGCTGCAGCATGTGTATTGCAGGACATGTGCAAGCATGCAAGCGTCTTTGAGTTGTAGAAAAGCGCTAGGCCTATAGGCTATAAATATAATGTATTATTATTATTATTGTTATTAGGCCTATGTGTTGGACATGTGTGGTTGAACTCTGTCTCACAGGCAGGTTGCAGTGTAACATCAGAGGAGACTGGGCCAATTGTACATTCTCAAACTGCACCACATAGAACTAACTAAACAATGCAGAGATTATTTTTATATAATTGTATTCAATAACCGTAAGAAATTAAACAGTATGAAGTGATTTGTAAATAGGAATACAGATTTGACTTAATGTTTTCATAAATATGTTTTTCTCCCAGTTTGTCATGGGACTTATTTTTACCCTCTCAAAGAACCGGAATCGAGAACCGAAAATAACCGGAATCGAAAAGCAGAACCGGAATCGTTAAAATCCAAACTATACCCAACCCTACGTATGTGTGATGCAGTAAAATCTTACCGCTCACTTACGGTGTCGTAAAAAACGTGGGAAAATGTAAAATACGTTGGCGAAGAAGAAGATTCCAGTGGCCCCAATTTTTCCATTCTGGACAAGTGAACAATGTATTCGGACAAGTAAATTGCCAAACTCACTTGTCCATGGACAAGTACTCTCTAAAAACTTTTTCTCACACTGCATTGCTCCAAAGCAGGAAGCAATGTTGTAACGCAGGATAATTAATAGACAATCTGGATTGGCTTAATAAGAATAATGTATCTGAGCTGTGTACCATAGGGCAGTGTTGTAGTCAAGTCACCAATTCACGAGTCCAAGTCACTCTCGAGTCACCACTCTTCGAGTCCGAGTCCAAGTCCGAGTCACCAAGGGAGAGTCGTAGTCGAGTCCGAGTCCAAGTCCGAGTCACCCAATGAATGTCCGAGTCGAGTCCGAGTCCGAGTCATCATTACCTGTGTTCGAGTCCGAGTCCAAGTCCGAGTCACCCAAGGAGTGTCCGAGTCGAGTCCGAGTCCGAGTCATCATTACCTGTGTTCGAGTCCGAGTCCAAGTCCGAGTCACCAGTCTTCATGTATTAATCTTCGTGGATATATGTGTTGAAATGTAGCTGCTCCTCTACATTGCTTTTATCCTGTCATGTTATACTAATCTGTCTATTGAACTGCTGTGAAGCCAGTTTGGCTACAATTCTTGTAATAGGTGCTATACAAATATAAAGCTTATTACTAATATTAATATTATTATTATTATTATTATTATATATAAATAAACTATGTTTAAAATGAGTTACCTTTTAGAGAAGTGATTATATTTGTATGCCAATATTTTCCTATGGTAAAGTTTTCGTTTTGCACTTTTATTTTGATAGTAATAAGATCGGGACTCTTATTTTGAAGGAACTTTTACCGGTTAAATCGGTTTACTGATAAAGATTTAGCCCCAGAAAGCACATGGCTACTTAGCATGCAAAAGACGTCATTCTGCATGTTAAGTAGCCATATGCTTTCGTGTTATCGGCTGAATCTTTATGTATTGATTAGATCACGTTACTCTGATGATAGTGTTCAATACAGCCTATATGTCTGAACTCGATGTTTAGAGTAATGTGTTACGGAGCCTTCTCTTCAATATTGTTTCCACATAGAGCATTTTGCGCTGCTCTTTTCCAATGTGGAAGCAGAATGTGTGAAAGCATACAGCACGATGCGGGGTGTGTCTCTAGACATCTTTAGACTGGAATAGCGGGGCCCAGTACGTGAACTCGCCTCGCAGCCGGTGCACACGCCAGGATAGAGGACATCAGACTCCATAGAAAACTTGTCCGAGTCCGAGTCCAAGTCGGAGCGTCAATGTACAAGTTGAGTGCGAGTCATCATGGGGGGAAAAATTCACGAGTCCGAGTCCGAGTCCAAGTCAGCACGCGATAATTCACGAGTCCGAGTCCGAGTCCAAGTCATCGTGCGCGAGAATTCACGAGTCCAAGTCCGAGTCGCGTCAATCAGTGCGCGAGTCCGAGTCGAGTCACAAATCCCGAAAATCGGCACTCGAGTCCGACTCGAGTCCGAGTCCAGGACTCGAGTACTCCATCTCTGCCATAGGGAGACATGAAAACCAGTGCTTTATATAATAGAACTAACAACAGAAACACTGACAACACAGCACTTATTCACCAGATGATAACTTAATACATTCACAATGATTAAGTCAAACATAAAGTTATTCCTCAGCACACCACATGTCTTTATCTGTCAGCAGACAGATGCTTTCCAGACAACATTATTTCTGCAGGTGTAAAATACCTTGTCAGTGTCAAGCAGACACCTCCTCTCACCGCTTTGTGAAGTAGTAACTGCTTGGGTCAGGAGAAGAGCTAATCTTAGATCAGGCTACAAGTCAGAGACAAAGCCATTGTTAGAATGACAGACGTCAGCAGAGGCAGGTCCTGTCAGCTGCCACTAGCTTCATGTTAGCTCTGTGACTCACTGGAGAACACATCAAAATGTATTGGTTAAAATCCTCTCTGCAGCTGGTGATGAGCAACGAGTAGCATCACAGTTTCCGAATAACCTTTCATTCATATCATTAATATAGTAAGGTCATTATCAATTATATAGCTGCTGTTTAGCATGGATTATTAGCCAGGTAGCTAGCTGCTGTTTAGCATGGATTATTAGCCAGCTGCTGTTCAGCATGGATTATTAGCCAGGTATTTGGCTGCTTCTTGTCGTAGATTGTTAGTCTGGTAGCTAGCTGTACGGTACAACCGTTTTTTAAGTGACATTAAGCCCAAACTAGCTAAATTGAGAAAATATGAAAATAGTTTTTTTATTAGAATGGGGACAGGGGACCACATTTTACGGCGGCAGTGGTTCAGACTGTAGGGACTTGGCTTTTGAACCGAATGGTTGCCGGTTCACGTCCTGATCGTACAAGGTACTACAGGCTGGTACCTGATGAGGCACGGAACCCTCAACTGCTCTGGGCGCAGGCACACTGGCTGCCCCTCACTCTCCCTCTCCTGTCCTGCATGTGGTTCTGTGTGCTCATGTATATCAACCAGTGTGTTTAATGTGAGTGATAAAAGTAATTTCCCCTTCTGGGATTAATAAGGTATATCTTCATCTTTATTAAAGTTGTAAAGTGTGTTTCTCTTTGTCAGGTCTTGGTATTTAGGTTGCGAAGTTTTGGAATACAAAATATTCAAAGGACAACTCAGAGTACAAATGGTAGTAAGCATGTCTTTAATCAGTAGAATTAATCATGGAAACATGTTCTCCTTGTAAAGGGTCTGTGTCCCCACATTTTGAGAACCGTGATGTAAACAATGTAATTCCTGGAATGGTGATTTATTCAGGGTCTCAACAGCCTTTTGCCTGGTAATATTACGAGACAAATGTATCATATCTGGAATTTCTTTATGCATGGAACTGAATTTCCCCTCTGGGATTAATACAAATTCATTTTAATATTAATCCTAATCTTTGAAAGTATATTTTTACAAAATAGGATCACTGACCTTTTTCTTTGCTGCATGCAGGTGAAGCGGGAGGTGGGAGACGTCAGCATTCTGGTGAACAATGCTGGGATTGTGACGGGGAAGAAGTTCATGGATGCTCCTGATTCCCTGATTGAGAAGACGATGGAGGTCAACACCATGGCTCACTTCTGGGTCAGTCAGACACAACATACCCACACAGTTTACCTCTGGGTCCAAATAATTTCTTACAGAGACTTAACCTGATTGATGATGAAGAGACAGATCAGTCAATATTGTAGAGATATATACAATTTCTTAATCATTTGGCATTTCTTTCTAATAATGTTCTAAATGTAGGCAGGGCAAGGAACTCCAACACAATTTACTATACAATTACATTTGATTGAATCATCAATACATTTCAGAAAGATTAAATCCAGTTAAGCGTTAAAGTTTGTTCCACTAATTTGTTTTTTCCACAACTACATATCACATAACTGAAATTCTAGAGTTAGGTCATGTGACTTCAATAAGTACATTTCCTCTCTTCATGAAGACCCAAAGATCCAGTTAAAAGTTCAATGTTGAAGCATTGAATTGAATTTTGATTTATCAAAAATACTCCTGTATTTAAGTGATGTACTGTGAAAGTCAATTGTCCTCTGAGCTCTACAATCAAATCCCTGTTCAGGTCTCTATATTAAATATCATGCTTCATTTGTGTCTCTCTCTGCTCAGACCTACAAGGCCTTCCTTCCCGCCATGATTGCCAACAATCACGGCCATCTTGTCAGCATTGCTAGTTCTGCTGGACTCATATCCTGCAATGGATTGGCAGGTATGGATGTTTCCGATTTCCCCATTGTTACATTTAAATTATCCATCCTTAACATTATCCAGTTCCAATCTTTCTTTGTCTAGTGGGCGGGGTGTTTTGGCTCGACCCTTTTCAACTCAAACGTTCTCATTTTGCAACTCAAAGGTTTACTAGAAAAAGTTTCTGACAAAATGTGACTGCTTAAAAGTTCACTCGATTCTTATTTGATCAGTGCTGATCAAATAAGAATCGAGTGAACTTTTTAGTGCTGAAACAATCTCACAATTTGATGGGACTTCACAGCAGTGACATTGCTTCAGGGAGTGTGAGAATAGTTTTTATCTAGAACTAGATAAATACTTGGGACTGGGTGAGAAAGCTTCAGATGTGTTCAGGCAGGAGCTGTGTCTCTTTTGTTGCTGCAGCAAATGTCTTTGTCAATTCTCCTGCCGTAACTTCCAATAAATATTCTGTGTCTGATTTCCACTTGCCTCTCAATGAAACGTCAAACCTATTTACGTATTTTCTGCTGCATCCTGTAATTAAAGTGTAGACAGTTGGATGTTTTTAAGTTAATGTTCCAGATCTGTAAAAATGTTACTCCTAGAGTGAACCGTCTATCAACATCTTTACATTGACTTTACATGTAAAGCGACGAGCGAAATATTGCATCTCATCCAGTATGAACACCCCTTAAAACTGCTTCTGTGTCTGTAGTGGTTTTAACAAGCACAGCTGTAGTTTCGATGACTCTGTAGTTTGTTTATCATCTGTTATCTTTTTATTATAGTTGTAGTACTAGTCACCATGAACTTTGCCTTAGTCTAAACATAGATAAGTGATTGTCCCAACTCTAGGGCTGTGTTGGAAGTAATAAAATAATCATAAATGACAGAACAGTAATTAAGTTCCATTCAGGTTACTTAATCTGCTCATAGTTCAAAAAGGTTATTCACAGTGTGTCATGAAGTCAATGTGAACATATAGCAACATTAATATTGTTCTGGGCCCTAGCAGTGCTTAAGTCTTTTTTTAAATGTATTTTCTTTAAGGCAGAATTACATTTATAGAAGAAACGACAACACCAGATAGTGTGCGACAACTCTTTTATGAAATAACTGAGTGCATACTTTTATTGCATGGACTGGGCCTTATATTTTTATCATGTGGCCAGGTGTCACACATTGCACCTTTTTTTTAAATCATGGCTATGTAAAGGTGTCACATTTTCATTTAATTACCGATAATCTGTGATATTTTGTATAATTTCAACATCAGGGAGTTTATATCTAAATGCTCAGAACAGACCCTGAACGTTGGTGGTGTTTAAACACATTTGATTATCAGATTATTTTCAGTGCAGCTGTATGGCCATGTTAAGGCTGAACTAATCACAAATCACCGTAGAACATTGGAAACCAATTTGGATTGTTGTTCGCAATTTTTGTAATATTTTTTCTTGAAATGGACCCAAAATGTTTAAATCAGTAACTTTTTTTTGAAAGGTTGATTTTACAATAGCATCTGCAAACCTAGCAATTTTAGTAAATGTGGAAGTGGAGACATGTAACTACATATTTTTGTTTTGTTTTCAGTACAGATCAGTCCTAGTCGTGTATCCTCTTTTTTTCTTTAATGATATGGGTTTTGGTTGAACTTTGTTTGAGAAGCACTGGCTGGCATCTGCTGACTTCATTTGTCGACCAGATAAGAATTCCTTTAATAATACTTCTCTAAGATAATCACTCGTCGCCCTCTCACCCATATTCAGCAGAAAGATTAGAGTGCCTTATCAATATTAACTCTGCCTGGGTTATATAATTCAAAAGATGTAGCCATGGCACAAGATAATAACTGGTGTAACAAACAACATGTCACATGACTGCTTTGAATGTGCTCACTTCCTACTTCCTCTGAATGAAACCAGAGACACAGAAGATGCGGTGTGAAGATACGCTGCACTGATTTTCAGATACATTGTATTCTAAATGTTGAACAGCCTTAGGCCTGAAATCCACCATTTGTCCATCTCCTCTACAATCTGACTGATGTCAGCTCAGTAAAACATGACTTGTTGATATTCTGCATACTCTAACATTTGCGACACAATTCAGCCTGTGTGAAAACGAGGACCTTTAAGTCACCGCTTTGAAATGGAGTTGAAAGCAACACAAAGGAGTTGGCTTTAGTCTTAGAAAAGTTGTTGGAATTATTCACCGTCAAATTAAATGCACACACACCAGATTGTTCACAGATTAAACAGTTCTACTTTTTTCATACTATCAATCACACACAAACAAACACACTTGCACACACACTCCTCTCCTATCTCCATATCAACCGCACTTGGTGGGGTTACATCAAGCTCCCAGGAAGTGGGCCAAGTGTTGAAGCACATTATCAACAGTGGCCAAACGATGGTACTACAACTTCTGTGTCAGTCAATCGTCGTCATTGGTCCCTTAAAGACTTTTCCCATTTACTTGCATCGGGAGAAAGACATCTGTAAATCAGTGTCATGGTTTTGTTTGGTAAGCCAACTTCACAGTCTTACATTTGAATAGCCTTTTAACATTTTAATAATTATAAAATGCTCTGATAGCTGATTCCAGGGATATTTTTTCCTCTCACTAAGCCTAGCCCAGACATGACATAGTGGATTGGAGGCGGGGTTTAGGGAGAACACTAGTGTGCATGCTCTATGGCCCAATGGATGCGTTAGTTAGCTGGAAGAACCAGGTGCCATTTGTTCTGGAGTTAGACCACTTTGGCTTCATTCTCCACTGAGCAACTTTCATAGGACTGAACGGGGCCCCGCCTCCAAAGCTGTATCTAGTTCTCTTTATACCTCCATGGGTTACACACACATAACCTGTTCATAAAGTCTTAAGAGGTTTGCTACTTGTAAAACACAGTATTGTTGGGCACCAAAGTGCCTCACACACATGGAGAGGTGACTCATTTGATGTCATGCAGAGCCTTCAGGCTATTCAAAACAGTAAGAATATTTCTCCATAATCTAAACAGGCTGGCTTAATGTGGTGTGTTTGTCAAAGTTGATGACACTGTATGACGTCATCTGGATTCGTTCACTGTTATATTGAGTTGGCATGGAGAATTGTGAGATTTCACTAAACATTGACTACTAACATTGTTTAAATTGTTTTTGATTTAATGTGTGCTTTTTATTAATACACTTTTCTTTTTTTTTAAACCAAAAAAATAAAAAGAATTCCGGTCACCCATTCCCCTATGTTCTGAGGGTTCAGTGTCGAAGATCTTTATGAGTATGATATAAAACATTAGTATTAATGCACTGTGTTCTTACATTTTTACTTGAGTGTGTTTTTTTTTCTTAATGACTTTAAAGGGAACATGTGATTGGGTTGAGTGAGTGTGAATTAGCAGTATTTCTAGGTTTTACGGTTGCTTTTAAAATGCTCATGCTTTCCTCCTCTTCTCTCTGCAGACTACTGTGCCAGTAAGTTTGCAGCAGTAGGTTTTGCGGAGTCCGTGGGTCTGGAGCTGTTGGCCACTGGGAAAGATGGCGTGAAGACAACCATTGTGTGCCCATACTTCATCAACACAGGAATGTTCGATGGATGTCAAACCAAGTAGGTCTCTTTACAGGATTTCTTTTTTTGTCTGTTCATTTAATGTCTACAGACCTGTAAGGGGTGTATAACAGCAAGGACTTTGGCCATATTAGCTATTATTTGTTCAGGTTGCCTGGGAGTAGCCTACATTAGTTTGTTAGTGAGTAGATACTATGCTTGCTCTCGCCTCCGCTTACTTTCTTCTGCTGATTTTCCTATTGTTCTTATCTGAAAACTTTGAGCAGCGGCTCCGGGACTTTTATTAATCACTGGGACTGTTATTCTTTGTAGATGGACAGAGGACTCTTGTCATATTTTAAAATGTTAACAACAACCTCAGTCCTGCAGTAGCATGGCCTACCTACAGCTAAAGCCTAGACTGCGTGCTACTTAGCTTAAGCTAGTTAGCTTAAGCTAGTTAGCAACAAAAGGCCTCTCCATCTCTACTGATGACTTCCATAAACTTCTTCTGAAGATTGCTGCGTTGGAAACTAAAATGGACCGGTTGGAAGTTAAAGGTCCCATGTCATGGCCATTTCTACTGATCATAATTCCATTGTTGAGGTCTATTAGAATAGATTTACATTGTTCAATGTTCCAAACTCACATTGGTTTCTCATACAGCATCTCTGTATAGTATGTGTATTCACTCTCTGTCCTACACACCTTGTTGGAGCTCCTGCCCGCCCCCTTCCTATGAGCCCACTGTGCTCTGATTGGTCAGCTCGCCCACTACAATTATGAAACTTCTTTTATCACAAAGTCAATAATGCTGTCGTTGCATCGCTCTGAAGTCCATAGGGACTTGGTTTGGCAACTGGAAGGTCACCAGTTCAAGTCCCGGCAAGACCAAGTGCTACCGAGGTGTCCCTGAGCAAGGCACCGATCCCTACACTGCTCCCCGGGCGCCGTTCATAATGGAAGCCCACTGCTCCTAACACTAGGATGAGTCAAATGCAGAGAAACCATTTCGTTACATAGTACCTGTACTGTGTAATGACAATAAAAGTGAAAAAAAGAAAAGAAAAAAGGCTTCAAATGATTGGCTATTATCGCTTCATCTCTGCTCTGCTCAGCTTAAATGAACCAATAAAGTTCACACAATCTCTCCACACATTATTTCCTCTCTGTGCTCCCTCTTTTTATTGTTTTCTCCTGTCTTTTTGTATGAAAAGGCCACGTCATATAGGGAATCATTGAAATAGATCAAATCTCTCCCATTCTCTGTAATTATCTTCGGTCTTTGGCTTTAGTCTAACATGGCCTGTGTTAATAGCCTCTTCAGATTGTCTTGTCCTGAGTTTATTGAGGTGTGCATGTGTCTGGGTGTAACAGCCCATTTACCTATACTCATGGTGAAGACATGCTGAAGACTCAGGCTCATGGTGAAGACATCAAGGTTCAAGGTTCAAGGCTTTTATTGGTCATACGTACATAGGTACAGTGTAGTTATGACGATGAATATCTTAGGTCACAGGCTCCTCCAACAGTGCAATGCAATAAAACAGATAAACAGAAAAAATGGTGCAAGTAAATACAAAAAGAAAAATAGTAAAAAAGTGGAATAGTGCAATAAGAGTCTATATGCAAGTGATTGAATATGATATATTAGATAAATCATTTCAAAGTAGCAGCCAGTTTAATGTTATGGATGTTGTTTCAAAGTTCAGGTGTTTAATAGTCTTCTGGCCTGTGGGATGAAACTGTCCCTGAGTCTGGTGGTTTTAGTCCTGATGCTGCGGTACCGCCTGCCAGACGGCAGCAGACAGAACAGTTTGTGGCTGGGGTGATGGGGGTCTTTGATAATCCTGAGGGCCTTCTTCCTGAGCCTCTGGGAGTAAAGATCCTCCATGGATGGCAGCTCCGTCCTGGTGATGTGCTGTGCAGTTTTCACCACCCTCTGTAAAGCCTTACGATTGAGGGTGGTGGTGCTGCCGTACCAGGCCGTGATGCAGCCAGTCAGGATGCTCTATGGTGCACCTGTAGAAGGTCAGGATCATCTCTATGGTGCACCTGTAGAAGGTCAGGATGCTCTCTATGGTGCACCTGTAGAAGGTCAGGATCCTCTCTATGGTGCACCTGTAGAAGGTCAGGATCATCTCTGTGGTGCACCTGTAGAAGGTCAGGATGCTCTCTATGGTGCACCTGTAGAAGGTCAGGATGCTCTCTATGGTGCACCTGAAGAAGGTCAGGATCCTCTCTATGGTGCACCTGTAGAAGGTCAGGATGCTCTCTATGGTGCACCTGTAGAAGGTCAGGATCCTCTCTATGGTGCACCTGTAGAAGGTCAGGATCCTCTCTATGGTGCACCTATAGAAGGTCAGGATCATCTCTGTGGTGCACCTGTAGAAGGTCAGGATGCTCTCTATGGTGCACCTGTAGAAGGTCAGGATGCTCTCTATGGTGCACCTGAAGAAGGTCAGGATCCTCTCTATGGTGCACCTGTAGAAGGTCAGGATGCTCTCTATGGTGCACCTGTAGAAGGTCAGGATGCTCTCTATGGTGCACCTGTAGAAGGTCAGGATCCTCTCTATGGTGCACCTGAAGAAGGTCAGGATCCTCTCTATGGTGCACCTGAAGAAGGTCAGGATCCTCTCTATGGTGCACCTGTAGAAGGTCAGGATCCTCTCTATGGTGCACCTGAAGAAGGTCAGGATGCTCTCTATGGTGCACCTGTAGAAGGTCAGGATCCTCTCTATGGTGCACCTGTAGAAGTTGCAGAGTATCCTGGAGTCCATGTTGAACCTCCTCAGCCTGCGGAGGAAGAAGAGCCGCTGTTTTGGTGATGACGTTAGTGTGATGAGTCCATGTCAGGTCCTCAGTGATGAGTCCATGTCAGGTCCTCAGTGATGAGTCCATGTCAGGTCCTCAGTGATGAGTCAGGTCCTCAGTGATGAGTCCATGTCAGGTCCTCAGTGATGAGTCCATGTCAGGTCCTCAGTGATGAGTCCATGTCAGGTCCTCAGTGATGAGTCCATGTCAGGTCCTCAGTGATGAGTCCATGTCAGGTCCTCAGTGATGAGTCAGGTCCTCAGTGAAGAGTCCATGTCAGGTCCTCAGTGATGAGTCCATGTCAGGTCCTCAGTGATGAGTCCATGTCAGGTCCTCAGTGATGAGTCCATGTCAGGTCCTCAGTGATGTGGACACAGAGGAACCTGAAGCTGCTGACTCTCTCCACCGTAGTCCCATTGATGGCGATGGGGGCGTGTCCCTCTCTCTGCTGCTTCCTGTAATCCACAATCAGCTCCTTGGTTTTGCTGACGTTGAGATGGAGGTTGTTATCCTGGCACCAAGATGTCAGGTTTGCGACCTCCTCTCTGTACGCCGTCTTGTCATCGTCTGTGATCTGGCCGATGACGGTCGTGTCGTCAGCCAGGCTGGGTGGTGGTGGAGAGGTGTGAAGTGGAGGTGGTGAGCAGACGGGGGATGCTGACGCCAGGCTGAGAGAAGGAGGTGAGGTGAGAAGTGGAGGTGGAGGAGACAGCAGCGGGCGGAGAGCTAAACCTATTGAAGAAGGTGTTCAGCTCGTTGGCCCTCTCCAGGGTGCCCACAGTCAGTCTGTCTCTCCCTTTGAAGCCAGTGATAGCCTTCATCCCAGCCCAGACATCCCTGCTATTGTTCTGCTGGAGCTTAGTCTCCAGCTTCTTCCTGTAGGAATCTCTGCCCCTCCTCAACTTGTCTCGCAGCTCATGCTGGATACTCTTCAGCAGTGATTTGTCCCCAGACTTAAAAGCTTCCTTTTTCTTATTTAAAAGAGTTTTCAGGTCACTAGTAATCCAGGGTTTATTGTTGGGGAAACAGTTGACAGTTTTAGCCGGTAATATTGTTTGTTCACAGAAGTTGATGTATTCTGTGATGCAGTCAGTCATGTTATTGATGTCCTCTCCATGTGGCACACAGAGCACGTCCCAGTCAGTGGTCTCGAAGCAGTCCTGTAGAGCCTCATTAGCCCCTGGAGTACATTTCCTCACAGTCCTGGTGGATAAATTTAGGAGCCAAGAAGATGAGGTTGTGGTCAGATCTGCCCAGGGGGGGGAGGGCAGTGGCACAATATGCATCCTTGGTATTAGCATATAAAAGATCCAGTGTATTATTTCCCCTGGTGGAGCATTTCACATACTGAGTGAATGTAGGCAGAGATTTGTTCAGTTTTGCACGGTTCAAATCCCCAGTTATTGTGATGAATGCATTTGGGTGAAGAGTTTGGAGTTTGGCCACAGAGGAGTGAATGACGTCACCAGCCACCTCCGCGTCCGCGTACGGTGGAATGTAGACAGCAACTACGATGACAGAATAAAGTTCTCTAGGTAGATAAAATGGACGTAATCCCACAGCTAGCAGTTCAATGTCCGGGCTACAGAAACGCTCCTTCACAGTAACATGTCCAGGATTACACCATCGTTCGTTCACAGTGCAATCCCTCCTCCTTTCTTTTTGCCGCTCAGAATAACGTCCCTGTCCGCCCGAACACTCGTGAAGCCGGGGAGAGCCGTGTTATTATCCGGGATGAGCGTGTGCAACCAAGTCTCGGTAAAACACATGATGCTACACTCACGGTATTCCCACTGCGTCTTCGTCAGCACGCCGAGCTCGTCCATCTTATTCCCCAAAGACCTCACGTTCCCCATTATAATGGCCGGTACACAGGGTTTGTACCTCATCTTCTTCTTCATCCTCAGCTTGGCTCCAGCTCTGCAGCCCCGCTTAAGCCTCCGAAGCTCCTCCGGGATGTCATGCCTGGCTCCGGGCAGCAGCACGGGTCGGCACAGCGCAATCAGCTGCTCACGAGAGTAAACAATGCTATCACTCCTCAGAGCATGGCTCTCCGACACAAAAGTGAAAAAAGTAGTAGAAGAATGACCAGAAAACGTTCGAAGTAAAACGTGGCCATACAGATGAAGCGTCTTATTTTGGACAGTTTAAAATGCGAGGGTCGTGATCGGTTCGTGCACGTTCCGTGATGGCCGGCCGGCCCCCAGTCTGACTTGATACCGCCCCCGTGATAATTACATTTAATT